TGTGTGTGTGTGTGAGAGAGAGTAATTACCTAAGTGTAGTTACAGGATGAGAGCTACGCTCGTGGTGTTCCGTCTTCTTAGCACTCTGTCATATAACGCTTAGAAACTACTGACGGTCTTGGCCTCCACCACCTTCTCACCTAACTTGTTCCAACCGTCTACCACTCTGCGAAAGTGAATTTTCTTATATTTCTTCGGCATCTGTGTTTAGCTAGTTTAAATCTATGACCTCTTGTTCTTGAAGTTCCAAGTCTCAGGAAATCTTCCCTATCGATTTGATAAATTCCTGTTACTATTTTGTACGTAGTGATCATATCACCTCGTTTTCTTCTGTCTTCTAGTTTTGGCATATTTAATGCCTCTAACCTCTCCTCGTAGCTCTTGCCCTTCAGTTCTGGGAGCCACTTAGTAGCATCTCTTTGCACCTTTTCCAGTTTGTTGATGTGCTTCTGAAGATATGGGCACCACACAACCGCTGCATATTCTAGCTTTGGCCTAACAAAAGTCGTGAACAATTTCTTTAGTATATCGCCATCCATGTATTTAAAAGCAAATCTGAAGTTAGAAGGCGTGGCATAGGCTCCTCGCACAACGTTCTTTATGTGGTCCTCAGGTGATAGTTTTCTATCTAGAACCACTCCTAGATCTTTATCGGAATTCTTTAAAGATTTCTCACATAATATATAGGTTGTGTGGGGTCTATGTTCTCCTATTCCACATTCCATAACATGGCATTTATTAACATTAAATTCCATTTGCCAAGTGGTGCTCCATATACTAATTTTGTCCAGGTCATCTTGAAGGGCATGGCAATCATCTAAGTTTCTTATCCTTCCAATTATCTTAGCATCATCAGCAAACATGTTCATATAATTCTGTATACCAACTGGTAGATCATTTATGTAGACAATAAACATCACTGGTGCAAGAACTGAACCCTGTGGTACTCCACTTGTGACATTTCTCCAGTCCGATACATTGCCTCTGATTACTGCCCTCATTTTTCTGTCGGAAAATTTTTCATCCATGTTAGAAGCCTACCTGTCACCCCTCCAATATTTTCTAGTTTCCAGAACAACCTCTTATGTGGAAGTCTGTCGAAAGCCTTTTTTAGGTCCAGATAGATGCAGTCAACCCAACCATCTCTTTCCTGAAAAATCTATGTTGGTCGATCATAGAAACCGAGTAAATTCGATACACAGGATCTTCCAGGTCGAAAACCATACTGTCTGATATTATATAATTTCTCTCCAGGTGTTCTACCCATTTAGTTTTGATTAGTTTTTCCAATACTTTCACTGTTACACTTGTCAATGATACAGGTCTATAATTGAGAGGGTCTTCCCTGCTGCCACTTTTGTAGATTGGAACTATGTTATCCTGTTTCCACACGTCTGCTACGATTCCTGTACACAGGGATGCCTGAAAGATCAGGTGAAGTGGAATGCTGAGCTCAGATGCACATTCTCTCAGAACCCAGTGAAATTCCATCTGGACCAACTGCTTTGTTCTTACTTAGCTCTCCCCCCTCCCCTCCCTGTTCAGCTCGTTGTTGTCGTGAGGGGGGGCTTGGTGGGCGGCTGCCGGAGTGATGCTCCTTGGGACAGTCCTATGTCGTTTTGTAGCCTTGTGCTCCTGCTGCTGTCCTCTCTAATTGTGCTGAACGACTTTTCCTTCGGTAATCGTTTTTCTCCACCTCTTCTCCTATCTGCTTGTCGTTTCCTGCCGACCTTTTGCTTGTTTTGGTTATTCCTTTGGACTACTTCTATTTTGACGCCCGGGTGCTTGAGGAGGCACACTCTTGCACCCGTAGAACTGTAGTACCCAACGTCGAGAGCGAGGGGAGCCTTTTATTGTCAATCCTCCTTTCGTCACTGAATCTGATCTAGACTGACTGACAGTTCTTAAGGTGGCGTTTGTGGGGCGTATACTCACGACGCACCCCTAGGGGGCCCCGACATGATTGGCGATAGCTTCTTGTTGGGTGTTCTGCCTCTAATTGTGGCTCCATGGTGGGTGTGGGGGCACATTCGTGAATGAATGTTTTTCTTTCGTACTTATGTCGACTTCTGTTTCTCTTTTCCTTTCTCAGGCTCGTGGAGTGGGCGACCAAGCCCCCGAGTCGGTTCGTGTTGGAAGACCGGGTTCTGTAGCCTCCGCTGCATTGGGCCCCGACCTTGCTCCTCCTTTGGCCTCTCTGACTACTCTCCTCGGCTCCCTTCCCTCCTCTGTGGTTGGGTCGAGCCCCAAGCCCTCAGTGGTGACTACCTCGTCCCCTGGCACGGCCCAGTCTCTTGTTGTGACTACTGTGCCTTTCAACCCCTCTTTCTCTGGGTGTTCTCAACGCCGTCATCGACACGGCCGCACTCGTTCGATTCCTTCTTGTTCTGATGCATATCAAGCCCTTGTTTAGTCCCGCTTCGTGAGCCAAATACTTTGATCTTCTCCCTCTTGATTCTGCGCCTCCTGACGATTTCTCCCTTTATAGGCACCTTGTTGATTTCGTAGATGCCTCTGTCACCTTCAACCCCACCCGTCTCGGTACACGTATCGTTGCTGCTCCTTCTCAGGATGCGGCCTCCTGCTTAGCTGCTTTATCCTGCCTTGGCGAGACCCCTGTTCGGATCTCCAAGAACGCTCGGTTGAATGCCAGTGTTGGCACTATTCTCCTCCCGCCCCATGTTGCAACCGGTGTTCGGAATCTGCAGGACTGCCACGATGATATTCAGCATGTCCTTGAGGCCCAGGGCCATTCTGTCCTCCAGGTAGACATGTTTACTCGTCCACCTCGTGGTCGTCGCCGTCAGCCCCTTCGGGTTGTGAAGATTACTTTTGATGGTAGGACCCTTCCGCCCTCTATTATTGTTGCTGGTGCCAGGTGCTCCGTCCAGGAGTACATTCCCTCTCCTCGACTCTGTAATAAGTGCTGGAGGTTTGGGCATGGTGCTCCCCGCTGCTCTGGAACTGTGTGTCTGTCCTTTGTGTGGGGGCGAGGGTCACTCTTAAGTCGGAGTGCACTTCTTCCCAGGCTTGCTGCCTCAATTGCGGTGAGGACCACCCAACCTTCTCCCGTGCGTGTATACATTACAAGCTTAAGGCAGCCGTCCTCGAGGTGAAGCGCCGGGAACGTTTATCTTTTCCTGAGGCGAGGCACCAGGTTCGCCGGCTCCCGCCTTATGCTCGCGTGTTGCGCTCTTCCTCTCCTCGTCCTTCCCACCATCCTCAGACTCGACCGTTTCTGGGCCTTGTACCCTGATACGCCCACTGCCCCCTTCTGTTCCTGTTAGTCTGTTTCCACACATCTGCTACGATTCCTGTACATAGGGATGCCTGAAAGATCAGGTGAAGTGGAATGCTGAGCTCAGATGCACATTCTCTCAGAACCCATGGTGAAATTCTGTCTGGAGCAACTGCTTTCTTACTTAGCTCCTTTAGCATATTTTCCACTTCATCTCTAGACACCTCTGTGCTCTGTTGTTCTCTGGAATTCTTATTGTGTCTGGTTCCCTGAAGATTTCATTTTGTACAAACACACTTTTAGAACTTTTCGTTTAATGTTTCACACATTTCATTTTAATTTTCCGTGAATCTATTTCCCATATTCAACTTCCGAATATTATTCTTTACTTGCAGTTTGTTGTTTATGAATTTATAGAATAGACCTGGTTCTGTTTTACATTTTTCTGCAATCCCTTTTTCAAAATTTCTTTTTGCCTCTCTCTTCACTGCCGTGTGAGGAGTTACACACACACACACACACATTGAGTGAGTGTGTGTGTGTGTGTGTGTACTCAAGTTATGCCTGTGGGGGTTGAGCTTCGGCTCTTTGTTCCTGCCTCTCGACTGTCAATCAACTGGTGTACAGGTTCCGGAGCCTATTGAGCCCTTTCATAACTACATTGAAACTGTGTATGGAATCGGCCTTCTTGAGATGATTTCGGGGCTTTTTTTAGTGTCCCCGCGGCCCGGTCCTCGACCAGGCCTCCACCCCCAGGAAGCAGCCCGTGACAGCTGACTAATACCCAGGTACCTATTTTACTGCTAGGTAACACGGGCATAGGGTCAAAGAAACTCTGCCCATTGTTTCTCGCCGGCGCCTGGGATCGAACCCAGGACCACAGGATCACAAGTCCAGCGTGCTGTCCGCTCGGCCGACCGGCTCCCACTACATCACTGCCTAATGCATTCCATCTGTTAACTACTGACACTGAAAAAGTTTTTTTTCTAATGTCCCTGTGGCTCATTTGGGTACCAAGTTTCCACCCGTGTACCCTTGTTCGTGTACTACCCATGCTAAATAGTTTGTCTTTATCTACCCTGTCAATTTCTCTGAAAATTTTACAGGTGATAATCACGTCTCCACTAACTCTTGTCTTCCAGGGTTGTGATGTTGAGATTAACATTTGAAAATATTGAGATTAATGAGTCTATACCTCTGGAAGATTATTTATATACTGTATATCAGAAACCAGATAAGTCTGAGTACAGAACCCATTGGGACTACGCTAGTGACATTGAGGTCTCACTCCTCACAGTAAAACTCTGCTTCCTGTTGTTTAGGTACTCCCTTGTTCACTGGAGCACCTTATCTGTTACTCTAGCCTGTTTCTCCAACTTAGCAACAGCTTCTTATGGGGAACTTTATCGAAATCTTTCTGAACATCCAAGAAAATGCAGTCTGCCCATCCTTCTCTCTTCCTTAATGCTTGTTGCTTGTCATAGAAGTCAATTAAACCCATGAGGCACGATTTGCCATCTTTGAAGCCATCTTGTTGGTTTGTTACAAAGTCCCTTCTCTCGAGATAAGCTACAAGCTTTTTTTTTCGCAATCTTTTCCATCACCTTGCATGGTATACAAGTTAAGGACACTGACGTGTTTGCACACGAGCACGAAAGGGGAAGATGATGTGTGTGAGGGAAAAAGGAAGGAAGGCAATGTGTTGTAATATATAGAAGACGTAACATTGAGTGCAGGTAATAATGGTGATAATGTTTTACAGATGAGGAGTGGGAGCGACATGTGAGCACAGAGGCGAGGGGTGATGTTGGGCTTATCTTAGTACAACCGTCGTGGCGTGGACGGGACCCCCCCAACCAGGCTCCAGGACCCCCTCCACCTGCCAGGGTGGCTCATAGGGCCCCTCCACAACAAGGATACATCGCAAGAAGCCAGTCACCGACAAGAGGACGAGCCCGCGGGGCCCACAACTCGCCACTTGGGGCCCGTCACCCATCACCCACACGGGCTCCTCGTGACCTCTCGCCCATTAGACCCGTACACCAGAGGAGGACTCCGCCTCGCCGACACCAGAATGCCAGAGACCGGTTAGTGCCTTCACTGCATATTCCTGCCCCTCTGATAGGTCTTTTCAGCTTTAAGTCTGCTCACCAGGTCCTCCAGCTGGGGTTTACACAGTTGAGGCACAAATGAAGTCACTCCTGTTTATTTTAATGATAAAAATAATTTTTATTTAAGCAAAAGTACTTGCCTATATATTCTATTCTTCTTGTATCCTATATATGCAAGACAAGTACTATGTCTAAAGCCACTAATACACATACAGCATTTCCCCCATGATGTGGAATAAAATAAAGAACTTAAAACTGAGATCCAAAGCAAAACTAAGTTGAAATAAGAGAAATAGAAACAAAATTATTAAATGGTGACTGGAACAGAAATTGCAACAGAACAACAGATAGTAATTTTCACAGAATAAACAGAAGGAATAATTTTTTTTTATTAAATTTTTACATGACAGATAACAGCAGTAAAACAGGTCCAGTAATTAATGTTCAATAACAGCAAAACATAGGTTGACATTTAGGAAGTAAGGTAGAGTTTATCAGGTAGTTCTTAGTTTTCCTTTTTAAACTATTTGAGAGAACGACAGTCTTTGATGTGATTAGGGAGGTTATTTCACATTTTGGGACACTTGACTTGCAGAGCATTTCTACTTTAAGTCGCACTCTTGGAATATCAAATAGATACTTGTTTCTAGTTTGGTGCCCGTGGGTTCCGTTACAACCCTTTAGGATGCGCTTAAGGCTGGGATTTGCACTGCAGGTCAGTGTTATATATATTATATATATATATATATATATATATATATATATATATATATATATATATATATATATATATATATATATATATATATGCGAACAAGCCTGAATGGTCCCCAGGACTATATGCGAATGAAAACTCACACCCCAGAAGTGACTCGAACCCATACTCCCAGAAGCAACGCAACTGGTAACTACAGGGCGCCTTAATCCGCTTGACCATCACGGCCGTCAAAAGGAAGTGATAGCCGAGGCTATTTGAGCCACTTCCCCGACGGCAACTCGGATGGTAATCTTGGGCATAGCATTTCACCAAATCACCTCATTCTTTGGGGCACACGTGAGGAACACAAATGCGAACAAGCCTGAATGGTCCCCAGGACTATATGCGAATGAAAACTCACACCCCAGAAGTGACTCGAACCCATACTCCCAGAAGCAACGCAACTGGTAACTACAGGGCGCCTTAATCCGCTTGACCATCACGGCCGTCAAAAGGAAGTGATAGCCGAGGCTATTTGAGCCACTTCCCCGACGGCAACTCGGATGGTAATCTTGGGCATAGCATTTCACCAAATCACCTCATTCTTTGGGGCACACGTGAGGAACACAAATGCGAACAAGCCTGAATGGTCCCCAGGACTATATGCGAATGAAAACTCACACCCCAGAAGTGACTCGAACCCATACTCCCAGAAGCAACGCAACTGGTAACTACAGGGCGCCTTAATCCGCTTGACCATCACGGCCGTCAAAAGGAAGTGATAGCCGAGGCTATTTGAGCCACTTCCCCGACGGCAACTCGGATGGTAGTCTTGGGCATAGCATTTCACCAAATCACCTCATTCTTTGGGGCACACGTGAGGAACACAAATGCGAACAAGCCTGAATGGTCCCCAGGACTATATGCGAATGAAAACTCACACCCCAGAAGTGACTCGAACCCATACTCCCAGAAGCAACGCAACTGGTAACTACAGGGCGCCTTAATCCGCTTGACCATCACGGCCGTCAAAAGGAAGTGATAGCCGAGGCTATTTGAGCCACTTCCCCGACGGCAACTCGGATGGTAATCTTGGGCATAGCATTTCACCAAATCACCTCATTCTTTGGGGCACACGTGAGGAACACAAATGCGAACAAGCCTGAATGGTCCCCAGGACTATATGCGAATGAAAACTCACACCCCAGAAGTGACTCGAACCCATACTCCCAGAAGCAACGCAACTGGTAACTACAGGGCGCCTTAATCCGCTTGACCATCACGGCCGTCAAAGGAAGTGATAGCCGAGGCTATTTGAGCCACTTCCCCGACGGCAACTCGGATGGTAATCTTGGGCATAGCATTTCACCAAATCACCTCATTCTTTGGGGCACACGTGAGGAACACAAATGCGAACAAGCCTGAATGGTCCCCAGGACAATATGCGAATGAAAACTCACACCCCAGAAGTGACTCGAACCCATACTCCCAGAAGCAACGCAACTGGTAACTACAGGGCGCCTTAATCCGCTTGACCATCACGGCCGTCAAAAGGAAGTGATAGCCGAGGCTATTTGAGCCACTTCCCCGACGGCAACTCGGATGGTAATCTTGGGCATAGCATTTCACCAAATCACCTCATTCTTTGGGGCACACGTCCATTCAGGCTTGTTCGCATTTGTGTTCCTCACGTGTGCCCCAAAGAATGAGGTGATTTGGTGAAATGCTATGCCCAAGATTACCATCCGAGTTGCCGTCGGGGAAGTGGCTCAAATAGCCTCGGCTATCACTTCCTTTTGACGGCCGTGATGGTCAAGCGGATTAAGGCGCCCTGTAGTTACCAGTTGCGTTGCTTCTGGGAGTATGGGTTCGAGTCACTTCTGGGGTGTGAGTTTTCATTCGCATATAGTCCTGGGGACCATTCAGGCTTGTTCGCATTTGTGTTCCTCACGTGTGCCCCAAAGAATGAGGTGATTTGGTGAAATGCTATGCCCAAGATTACCATCCGAGTTGCCGTCGGGGAAGTGGCTCAAATAGCCTCGGCTATCACTTCCTTTTGACGGCCGTGATGGTCAAGCGGATTAAGGCGCCCTGTAGTTACCAGTTGCGTTGCTTCTGGGAGTATGGGTTCGAGTCACTTCTGGGGTGTGAGTTTTCATTCGCATATAGTCCTGGGGACCATTCAGGCTTGTTCGCATTTGTGTTCCTCACGTGTGCCCCAAAGAATGAGGTGATTTGGTGAAATGCTATGCCCAAGATTACCATCCGAGTTGCCGTCGGGGAAGTGGCTCAAATAGCCTCGGCTATCACTTCCTTTTGACGGCCGTGATGGTCAAGCGGATTAAGGCGCCCTGTAGTTACCAGTTGCGTTGCTTCTGGGAGTATGGGTTCGAGTCACTTCTGGGGTGTGAGTTTTCATTCGCATATAGTCCTGGGGACCATTCAGGCTTGTTCGCATTTGTGTTCCTCACGTGTGCCCCAAAGAATGAGGTGATTTGGTGAAATGCTATGCCCAAGATTACCATCCGAGTTGCCGTCGGGGAAGTGGCTCAAATAGCCTCGGCTATCACTTCCTTTTGACGGCCGTGATGGTCAAGCGGATTAAGGCGCCCTGTAGTTACCAGTTGCGTTGCTTCTGGGAGTATGGGTTCGAGTCACTTCTGGGGTGTGAGTTTTCATTCGCATATAGTCCTGGGACCATTCAGGCTTGTTCGCATTTGTGTTCCTCACGTGTGCCCCAAAGAATGAGGTGATTTGGTGAAATGCTATGCCCAAGATTACCATCCGAGTTGCCGTCGGGGAAGTGGCTCAAATAGCCTCGGCTATCACTTCCTTTTGACGGCCGTGATGGTCAAGCGGATTAAGGCGCCCTGTAGTTACCAGTTGCGTTGCTTCTGGGAGTATGGGTTCGAGTCACTTCTGGGGTGTGAGTTTTCATTCGCATATAGTCCTGGGGACCATTCAGGCTTGTTCGCATTTGTGTTCCTCACGTGTGCCCCAAAGAATGAGGTGATTTGGTGAAATGCTATGCCCAAGATTACCATCCGAGTTGCCGTCGGGGAAGTGGCTCAAATAGCCTCGGCTATCACTTCCTTTTGACGGCCGTGATGGTCAAGCGGATTAAGGCGCCCTGTAGTTACCAGTTGCGTTGCTTCTGGGAGTATGGGTTCGAGTCACTTCTGGGGTGTGAGTTTATCATTCATATATATATATATATATATATATATATATATATATATATATATATATAAATATAAATATAATATAATATAATATAATATTGATGATGATGAGAGAGAGTGAGTGCGCATACTTGAAAGGAGGCATTTCACTTTTTCGACAGCCCCCTTCAGTCCTCCTAAAATTTTCTGCGAATCTATCAGAAGAAAGCTAGACAAAAGATACAAAAGATAAAGAAAAATCCAAAATATTTTTTCACATAAGCAAAAGCCTCCACCAGTATTGGACCTTTAATTACAACCGAAGGTACGTACAAAGGAAAACAAGGAAATTAGTGAAAGTCTAAGAAGCCAGTATGAGGCTATGTTTAGCACACCAATAAACAACATGAAAGTTGAATATCCAGACAGCTTCTTTATGAATGACATCCAAGCAGCAGATAATATAACGGATATTAACATGAACTCGGAAGACTTTGAAGGATAAATTGACAACATGCCCATGCACTCAGCCCCTGGTCCTGACTCATAGAATTCAATATTCATAAAGAAATGTAAAGTACCAGTAATGCAAGCGCTCGGTTTAATATGGAGATAGAGCTTGGATACAGGGAAGATACCAGCAGCACTTAAATCTGCAGATATAACTTCTCTGCACAAGGGAGGAAGTAAAGCTTTGACAAAAAATTATAGACCAGATGCACTAATATCACACACAAAAAAAGTTTTTGAAAGTGATTAGGAATCAAATTTCTAGTTTTATGGAAAATAATGAACTACACAAAAAACCCAGGACAACATGGATTTAGAGCGGGAAGTCTGTCACAGTTACTCAACCACTATGACAAAATCACAGAAGCCCTAGAAGAAAAGCAAAATGCAGAAGTTGAATACACAGACTTTGCAAAGGCATGCGACAAATGTGACCATGGAGTGATAGCACACAAAATGAGGTCAATGGGAATAACTGGTAAAGTAGGATGGTAGGTACTAAATTTCCTAGTCGAACAAAACAGAGTAACAGTCAACCATATAAAATCAAGTCCAAGCGCAGTTAAAAGCTCTATACCTCAGGGTACAGTCCTTGAACCATTGCTTTTCCTTATTCTCATATCAGATATAGACAAAAATACAAGTCACAGCTTCATATCATCCCTTGCAGATGACACAAAAATCAGCATGAAAATTACCCCTACTCAATACATTGAAAAACTACGAGCAGATACAGCATTATTAAAGTTTTCGACTGGGCAGCAGAAAACATGTTTAACAGTGATGAATTCTAGGTACAGTACTCGGGTATGGTAAAAGTGAGGACCTTAAGCATAATACAGGGTACAAAACAATAAAATCTGCCCATAGTAGGAAAGCAGCATGTAAAGGATTTGGGAATAATGATGTCTGACGACCAAATGTTTAGGAAGCATAACCAAGCAAATATTATGTCCACCAGCAAAATTATAGGATGGATTACTAGAACTTTCAAATCCAGGTATCCCATCAGTGGTTGTACTATTCAAATCACTTGTGCTGTCCCATCTTGAGTACTGCTCAGTACTCACTTTCCCCTTCAGTGCAGGAGAGACTGCTGAAAATAGAGGGAGTACAGAGAATGGATTTAGCATACAAAGTTTCAATAAAGCACCTAAATTATTGATCATCTCAATGTTCTCCAAATGTACTTGCTAGAAAAGAGACGAGAGAGAGATAAAATAATGTAAACGTGGAAAATACTGGAGGGCTAGGTCCCAAGTCTACACAGTAAACTAACAACATACTGGAGTGAACGATATGTAAGAAAATGCAGAATAGAACCAGTGAAGAGCAGGGATGCCATAGGCACAACCAGAGAATACTGTATAAACATCAGAGGTCCACAGTTGTTCAACATCCTCCCAGTGAGTAAAAGAAATATTGCTGGAACAACCGTGGACATCTTCAAGAGAACACTAGATAGTTTTCTTTAAGAAATGCTGGACCAGCCAGGCTGTGGTGGATATTTGGACCTGCGGGCTGCTCCAAGCAACAGCTTGCTGGACCAAGCTCTCACAAGTCAAGCCTGGGGCTCAGGCTGAACTTGGGGAGAACAACTCCCAGAGCCACATCAAGCAGGATGTGTAGTGACTTAATATCTAACATATTTAAAGATTTAAGTAAGGGGGGGCCTGAGTGCTGTTTGGTGCTTGAGTTTGTTGTTGTTCTAATAGCTGATTTGTGTTGAGTAACTAGGGGTCATAGAGTGGATAGCAGAACCTCAGATATAGATACCATAGGTGAAATAAGGATAGATGAGAGAGTAATAAAGCATTACCAAGGCAGGGCAAGGTACCAGGGCAAGGCAAGGCATTCTTTCTAAAATTAGATACTAACTGTTTTCAGTTTTTTGTTTTTTTTTTAAAGTTAGATTTTGCAAATGGTTCTGGAAATTCAACTTATCAGTGAGAACACAAAGGAATTTACTGTCTATTTTGGTATTAATTTAGATATTATTAATTCTTGGGTTAATCTGATCAGTGGATTTATTACCAAACAAGATATAGAAGGTTTTATCAGTGTTAGGGGAGATTTTTTTAACAATTAGCTGAAATACTGGGTTCTGCTGAAGACTTACTTGCCTTTAAGTTCTTTTTCGTAGCTCTTGTTTGGATACGTCACATCATACACCAGACCAGTTCACCAGTGGATTTTAAAATTTACCCAAACCAAACCAACCAACCAAACCTAACACAGCCTAACCGTACATCCTAATCTAACGACATACTCTACTAGATACTGTTTTGACACTCGGAAAATGCGCTTTATTGAATCTTCTTGTTTATGATTTGAGCAGCCCAGACCCACATATTCTGGATTACTTTAATGTTCTTGTAGGTTCATCTTGCTAGTCTATATACACAAGTAGTGCTGGAATCCTTGATATAAAATATATTGTCTTAATAGAAACCCAGTCATTTTTCTGCCTAGGTTGTAGGATTAATGAATAATTTAATGTGATCACATTATAACTTGTGCTTAGCCAGATGTAGATTACATTCAGGATTAGGGGAAAAAAATTTGTTAGTAGTAAAACTTGATCATTGATAACGAGAAATTACATTTTTTATTTCAGGAGCGAGTCGCCCGTCTCTCCTCGTGAGAGGTTCCAAGATGCCCGCGAAAAGTTCCGCTCTCTGGAACGAGACTGGCAGCGCCCTGATCGTCCAGATGCCCACTCTCGCCCTCAGGGTATCTCCCGTACTCCATCTTGGGAGCCTAGCCCCAAGCCCACTACAGGGGTGAGAGAGACCCGTGGTCCTGTGGAACAGGTGCAAGCGAGCCGTGATGAAGTAGTTTGGCCAAAGAGTGACCGTGACACAGGCTATGGCTCTCGTGATGGCCTTCTGCGAGAGCGACCACGGGGCCGTGAATATGATCGTGGCTATGGCACTGGTGACACACGTGACTCTGACCCATGGCGCCGTGACCAGGGCCACCGCACACCAGATCTGTGGCAGAAGGAGCCACGGGTACCAAGTCCCAGCCGTGTACCTCGTGGGCGCAGCCCCACCAGAGACTACAGGGTACCAAGGGTCAGGTCTCCAGAACGCTCCGACTACCATAGAGCCAAATCTATGCATGACCTGAGCCAACGACGCTCTGCCAATGAAGAAGAACGTCGAAGTTGCAATGATCCACGCAGACGATCCATGTACGACACGGCAGAGGACCCACGACCATTACGAGAGAGTCGTTCTGGCCATAGATATCGTTCACAGGCTAGCCTTCGCCATCACAATTCCTGTAGCTCTGACTCTTGCCATTCTGGTGACAGTTACGAGCTCCCAGAAACTCGCAGGTTTCCTGGTCTAGACCGTGCTACTGCTCGCCCAGATCCCTTGGAGACTGCCCATTCTGCCCATCTTAATCATGTCAATAAACGTACATATGATTACCCAGTGAATGGTGGCACAGCTGCCGTTCACATCAGCCGAGCCCAACACGACGACTACCGCCGCTTCCGTTACGATCACACTGCCACTCCGCAGTTTATTCGTTCCACCTCTGTCCCCACTGCCCATTACTGAGTTTGGTACTGCCTCACTTGACCAACAAAGCCCAGCCATTGTTTATACACTTTCTTAAATATCATGATGTTTAGTAAAACTCTTCCCGACTTTTTTTTTTTTTTTTGTGACGTATAAAGCTGTGTACTTTTAAAATATTTTATTTACTGTTTCTGCTTGTTTATAGTATAGAATTTTTGTTTGAAATACAATTTTCATGATTTACTTAATATTGCTACACAGTTGGTTCAGGAGTGGTTGCCCACCGATTTAGCCACTGTAAAGTAACACGGAAAGGTTCTTAAAATACACAGGGAAATCACAATACTGTAATGTGATGTATGAGAATATTTGGAGCAGGATGGTGGGATTGAACCAGTGGGTTCTGGTGGACTTCAGGTTGTGTAACTTTTAGCATATTGTGGTCCATGGGTATGGGGTTGCATCTGGGGATGATAAAGAACGCTGGTTTGATCCCAACGTCCTGCTCTGACGACTTTCTCATGTTCTTAAGGTGTTTTGGCTTTGTCTATGTGCCACCAACCTGTAAGTGTTGCACAAGTACAGGAGGCTTAACACTGCTGCTATGAGTATCAAAACAGGTGTTTTGATCAATGCCCCCCCTCCATGTTCTAGGACTGTACTGTACTGCTTAATCGTTGTCTCGCTGTATTATTGTGTATGACGTGCTTTCTGTCACACACGAGAAAAAATAGTGATATTGAGAGGTTTTGCATTTCCTGTGTTATGAGTTACTATATTGTGAATATTAATCTTAAAGTTTGAGCTATACTGATTTTAGTCTTTAATATGTAATGTAGCTTTTTTTATGCTAACTTGAACTATGTATATATTCTAATGCCTTTGTTAGCTGCCTGTGAGTACACACAAGCTTGTCTGTGACTGCAAGTTAGCCAGCATCTCAAACATAGCTGTAAAAATATAATAAAAATACAAAAATCATAATTTGCCATAAGTTTTCAATTATAAAATGTTTCAAAGAGTTGGATACTCTAGTTATTCTGCCCTGATAGAGCAATTATAACTGATTGTACACAGTTATACAGACTTGTATATGTTGGTATAACTTTATATTGGTGTTTTGCGCTGCTGCTGCTTGGGCTGTGATTGCCATGGTGATATGTGGCAGAGCCCATGCACCGAATTTTGCCAAACATTAAATTATAAGCCACAGGATACTTCCTGCTGCAGAGGGTCCTTCTAACATGTTGACAATGGTCTCTCGATCAGGCAGAAGAATGTATCATTGTTAAGTTTAAGATATTTGCAGGCAGTACAATAATTGATGACCACTCTTCATAGTGGAGATGGACTGTTGTAACTGATCACTCTTCACAATGGTGGGAGACTGTGATATGATGATCATTGTATGATGGAGAGGTAACTGTATTGTAACTGATCACTTTTCATAATGGTAAGCTGCTGCTATTTATGATCATTTATAAATGGTATTATATGTTACAATATTTAACTATTGTAATTTAACCAATATAATTAACTATTGACTGGCATCACATCTGGGTTTTCAATAATGTCGGCTTGTTAAGAGACCTAACAGAATTATAACTGTTGTGATAAGGTGTTTCCTACATAACTGATCTTGTTACATTAATGACCCAAGCTCTTATACTTTGTATATAGAATGTACAAATGTGAAGTTGTATGTAAATTATGACATTGCTCTGAAAGCCATTATATATATATGTTTGCGCTGGTATCTTTAATAAAGATTAAGGGAGTGTATTTATTTAATTTCATACTCAAATCTGGGTTCAAATTTAGTTAAGCTTATTCAAACTCCAAAATATGGACAGTAAATTTAATAATTTTTCAGTTATTCAGAAAACAAAAATACATACTGTGTGTGGTGGTAACATACTTACTATTAAAGCGACTAGAAGAAACTCAAGATTTTTTAGTTAATCATGTGTAAAGTATTCTGTAGTTCACCAATGGAAGTGATGGTGTTATCCTGTGATGTTAGTATTAATATTAACTGGTAGTGTTAGTATTTTTAACTGGTAGACCATGTGTTAAAAGCAACATACATGCAAGTTTGATGAACCAAATGGAGATTTCACTTTAGCTCACTTAGCTTGAATTGAAGGAGGTTGCAGATTGTGTCATTCAAGATCTTGTACAGATAGAAATTGTCTACACTTGAAATTCGGCTAGTAAATATGTAAATTATTTCAAATTGCAGCACTCATAAATAAGGATACTGGAATCAACACACTGTAACAAGTTTTAGAACACAATTGGGCAAATTTAGGCAAGGAAGAAGCCTCTTAGTGGGACATTGCCCTATTTCATACGGTCCTACACAAAGAAACCCAAAGTAGACATTCTACTTAATTAGCTGTCATTTGTAATAAGTAGCATGAATGCCATTGTCTTAAAGGATTGACTTGGGTGCTCTTGGTACAAAATTTAAATTACACTCGGTAGTTGTGACTTTGCAAGATTATCAGCTCAAGTCACACACATCTCCTTGTCTTCTTATTCAACACTACATTGTTTACACTATCAACCCCCAACATAAATAAGTAATTATCAAAAGAAGGACACCAAGCTGGGGAGGCTATGTAGCACTGTCATATGTGCGGGATATTCAAAAGGTGCTAAATATCATTAAGGATGCCAAAATGAGAATAAAAGCTTATAAGGTGAACATCATCAAAGGTATCTGATTCACCAAGGAATCTATGGAGGAACAGGTCACCACAAGGGACAGTCAGAAAGCAAGATGCAAGCACATCTTGGAAGTTGGGACATTCAACATGGATATGCATGACTGTATGAGGGACAATACAGTTTGAACAATGAGTGGGGCGACGCTCCATTAAGTCCCCGTGAGTTAAACATGTAGGGCCAATACGTAACATTGCCAGGACCATTTCCCACCGCCAGTTACTATGCCATGTACGAGGGTGGCCATGGGGACACGCTACCCTTAAGAGCACGCAGTTTGTTACCAGTAACAGAAGACCAACTGTGCTAACTTCTTTGTCTTTGTGTTCTTCGTCATCAAGAAGACTCAATCTGTGCCAACGAGCATGGATTGAAGAATTGACTGGGTAGAAGTCAAAATAAGGAACACCTTTGTGGGAAATGGGACAAATGCTGATAGCCTCCTTCGTGGCAGCATCTGTGCGCTCATTTAATTAAGGAAACACCAATATGGCTGGGAACCCAGCAAAATGCGACTATCTTACATCTGTAGATAAGAAACAGCCAATGTTGAATTTTGACGACCACAGAATGGACAGGATTAAAGGCCTCCAGAGCCATCAGGGCACTGCGAGAGTCGACTACAACAGCAAAGGAAGAATGACGGCTAGAAAGCAGTTGAAGTGCATACAAAATTGGATAAAATTCTGCCATGAAGATGCTAGAGTCCAGAAGCAGGTGACATGTATTTCCTGATCACACCTATATAACGGAGTAGTCTACACCGTACACCGCCGGCAGACTTGGACCCATCTGTGAAGACGGAATGGAGCAGGAGTGTGAAGATAAGTGAGCAAGGAAAAGGCGTTTCAGAACTGTAGGAGAGGTAAAAACTTAAGTCATGCAGGTCAAGGTTCAACAGAACTCAGGAAGAAGGACCCTCTATGGGGGCAAGGATGGAACGACACATAGAGAAATATTGGTAATACGAACCGAGAGAGAACCTTGCGAGACAATCGTATGGAAGGTGGTGAAAGGGAACAGGCCCCACAGGAGGGGTAAAAGTCAAAGTACGACATAAGCGAGAGTGTGTTGTATGGACCGTGCAAAGCAGCGAAGACAGTAGCGATCACGGCGATCCTGTTTAGATAGGATGCCGGTTTCAACATACAGACTCTCGGTAGGAGTCGAATAAAAGGCACCAGAGCTGAGGCATAACCCAGTATGGTGCAGAGCATCAAGACGACGAGGAGTTGAGAGAGAGGGGCAGACGAGTAAGTAGGACAGCCATAATCGAGTTTAGACAGCACTAGAGAGGAATGTAAAGAGAGGAGCATGCGCCTATCAGCTTCCCAGGAAGTATGGAACAAGACTAAGTAGGTTAAGGGCCTTAAAACATTCAACTTGGAGGTAAGGGATATGGGATGACCAAGACGAATGTGTCAAAGATTAACTCCAGAAGTTTGGCAGAATCCTTATACAAAGGATTACCATAAAGCAACAGAGGGGGTCAAAGAATGACCTGCTTCCAAGTAAAAGTCATAGCACAAGTCTTAGTTGTAGAGAAATTGAAGCTATGATTGGTGGTCCAGGACGACACGGCATCAATCGCAACTTGAATCCGCCGTTGGAGGAAAGGCGAGTCATCACCTCGACAGTAGAGGGCAAGATCGTCAACATAAAGAGCAGAGAAAATGTCAGAGGGAAGGGAGGAAAGAAGACTATTGAGAGCAACCAGGGGGGGAAAAAAAAGTAGTGGTGAGAACACTACCTTGGGGTACACCTTTGTATTGCCGAAAAGAGGCAGAGAGAGCGGTACCAAGCCTCACTCGAAAGGAACGACAAGAGAGGGAGATTACCACGAAGACCAAAATAAAGGGGTTGGCATAGAATATGGTATCCCCAGGTAGTGTCATATGCCTTTTCCAGGTCAAAAAGGACAGCAACCACGGAGGTCACAGCAAAGGCAGTATGAATATAGACCTCCAAGTTCACAAGGACATCAGTCGTGCTGTGACACTTGCAAAAGCCAAATTAAGAAGGGAAGAGGATTTGATAGCAATCCAAGAACCAATCAGATGGACATTGACCATACGTTCAAAGAGTGCAGACACAGTTCATTAGAGTAATGGGGTGAAAGTATATAGGGGATGACCCTAGAGAACCAGGTTTCTGAATAGGAAGAACAACCACCACAAACCAGTCCTCAGGGACTGACGATGACTCCCAGACATAGTTATAAACATTCAGTAAATACTGAAACGTGCCTTGAGGGAGATGGTAAAGCAGCTCATAGTGAATATCATCTGAGCTCACTGCTGTAGAATCGCAGGGGGCCAGGGCAGACTGGAGTTCTGAGAGAAGATCGTTATAGGGAAGCTGAAGACGAGTGCAAAAATCTAAGGGACAAGATTCAAGAAGGGGCTTATGGGTAAGGAAAGGAGGAGGAAGATTAGAACCAGAGCTAACAGTCAAAAAGTGTGAACCCAGTTTGGTCGCAACCGACCGAAGTGAGGTCCAAATAAAGAGAAGAAGAGCAGAGAGAAAAATCAAGATAGGAAAAGGTGTGAGTGCATGAGTCCACATGAGTGGGTTCATCAGAATTCAGAAGACAGAAGAAAGGAAACTGGTTCAAGATGGCGGCCTTGGGTGATTGTCAGAACATCTCCCCCAGAAGGTATGCAGACAGTTAAAATCACATAAAATGAGCACAGGCTCTGGTAAGGAGTCCAACAGGTGCTTAAGATCAGGAAGAGAAAGTGGGACATTTGGGGGAAGATAAATGGAACAGACTGTATACCATTTACTCACAAAGATACGGGCTGCAGAACACTGAATGAGCAACTGAAAAAGTAGAGGGACGAAGGGATATCATGACTGATCAAGAAAGCAGTAGAGTTATGGGCCCCAGCAAAAGTTGGAGGGAAAGAGATAAAGGAATAACCATGGAAGCGACCAGGAAGAGCGCCAAGCAAAGGCTCGTGGAGACAAAGTGGTGAAAACTGTGTGATTAGAAGTTGGAGTTCATGGAAGTTGGCATAAAAACCATGAATATTCCATTGAGGAACAAACAGACAAAAAACAGAGAGAACAGAGATAACAAAGGCAAAGAAGAACACAGTAGACTAAGGAAGATCAGGACTAGAATCAGTGAAATCGGGGTGATGGGGCATAGGCAAAACTAGCAAAAATAATGGAGGAAAGGAAGCGGGAGGACAGACAAGAGGCGGATTGACAAGAGTCTGGAGTGGGAAGAGGCATCAGAGAGGCGGTCAAGGGAATCCGGGGCAGGAAGGACAGAAACAGGAGAAGGCACCGGATCAAGGGCAGCATCCAAGAGAGGATCAAGGACCAAGGGTACCTCCATAGTAGGGACAGGTTACCTTAAGATACCTTGAGGTGATTCTGGAGCTTAGCGTCCCCACGTACCGGTCATCGACTCGGCCGCCTAAACTCCTCCAGAGGTGACTTTGCCACTGGGAGGGAAAGCAGGGATAGTGTCGGAGTCAGAAGGTGAGGAATATATTGACGCCTTCTTACCCGCCGGGAAGGAAATAGATAGGAGCCAGGCTTACGTTTCTGACGTAGAGACAGGCGCACCATTAGCAATGTACTGGGTGATAGCCTCAACAGGTTCAACAGGAGGAGAACGGGAAGTTAACATAGAAAACAATTGGAGGAGGATGGACAATGACCCAAACAGACAGGTGATGAAGAGGACCAAGAGACAGAGGGGAGGGGAGGGGAGGGCTTCTTGAGGTTATCTTGAGATGGTTTTGGTGCTTAGTGTCCCTGCGGCCCAGTCCTCGACCAGGCCTCCATCCCCAGGAAGCAGCCCGTAGCAGCTGTCTAACTCCCAGGTACCTATTTACTGCTAGGTAACAGGAGCATCAGGGTGAAAGAAACATTTTGCCCATTTGTCTCCGACTCCACCGGGGATTGAACCCGGAACCTCAGGACTACAAATCCGAAGCGCTGTCCACCCAGCTGTCAGGCTGAGGAGGAGTGGGGCAAGAAGGGAAAGAGCACACAGGAGACAAGAAAGACTGGGAAGGAAAAAAGGAAACAC